GCTACGAAGCCCAGCGATTAGAAAAGGGCTTCCCTGAATAGATTACGGTCGACTTGCTGGGAAAGCGAGGAGAGGCTGCTGTCAACTCCACTCCAAAATTAGCTTGAAGGAAGCACAAACGAGGCAAGGTGTTGCCCCGGGAGCAAATATGGCGCTCGGGGAATTTGCGTGGTATGGCGGCACCAGGCTCGGGACCATTATGGTTATGCAAATCAACGAGGCGCAAAGTAGTGCCGCTGCCGACAATATCACATTATGTGACAATGAATATGAATGATCAGCACACGTACCTGAGTACTTGGCCCGGGCGAATGACTGCAGCACATGATGAGGATGATGATCGGCCACTAAGAGATCGTCTATAGGCAGTGAATTAGTAGAAGATGAGGTGTGAGAAGTAGTAAGGGAAGACGGTCGTCTGACAAGCACAACGGTGGTGAGAGCGGCAACGAATGCGCAGACGACGAGCGCAGCAAAGGCTCGCAGCCGCACGACGAGCATCTAGGATCAGCAACAGCAGTACGACACCAGCGACCACCGCAGCATCACAACTCCTGTAAGCAGTACCTACAGTAAGATCATACAGAAGGCGAGGGTCAGACCATAAACAGGCTGGCTGCACATGGCTGATCCATCACCACGCCCACAAACTCACCTTCCACAGCCGCCTGTGATGCTGTGAGAGTGGACTACACGGGCTAGACTAGATTACAGTAATAGCTAGGAAGCAACAGGGGCGGCACTCTGAAATGGGCATTTTTTTGCCGTGGCAGAAGAGGAAAACGGCGTTCACTGGAGAGTGGATGAAACGGGAATTTTTTTCCCCGGTAGGAAAACGAGAGTGTCCGAACGAAACCAAAAAACCAACGTCTGCAGGATTTCTGATGGAATAAACAGAACAAAGCAATTCCTTCGGAATTCTGAACTAAGGGAGTCTATCAACGTCATAAAAAATAAAATCCACATATTTTTATTTATTTATTTATTTATTTGAAACGACGCATAAGGCAGTCGTGGGAAACAACGATAAATGAGCAACAGTACAACAATCTTTCCTTATAGATAACCTAGTTATAGCTCAACAAATTTTTCTTAGCTAGGCGTTTGAAAAGCACAAATTATAATCCCGGAAAAAGAAATGTTTACAGAAAATTCCATGAAGAAGTGCACAAATAAGGGAAATAACTTGTTGGGACCACATTTTTCGAGGATTTTTTAGAGCTTATATCTCAATGAGAGCACATTTGTCGAGGATTTGAAGCTTATATCTCAAACGAAGACAAATAACCCATCAAAAAAGGTTCAGTGAACAAATTTCAGCATGGCTACCGACTTAGAGTATGTCATCAGTAAGCATTCGCCCAACGAAAAAAAGTGTTATTTCGTGATTTTTAAGAGCGAGATCGCATTCAGAGAGAAGGTTCAGCTTTTCGGTAAGAAATAGAGAGAAGCGGATTCTTCAAAATTGATTTTTCACGAATTTCGGTAAAACTTCGCCGTTTCAACAGTAATATATCTTATCCTTCCCGGCTCGACGCGTTTTTGAAGAAGTGCTGGAGCAGCAAAGTGTGCCAAGATGAGCCAGGTTCACAACGCTAGTTGACAGGCATGGAAAATGGAAGGTCGTGTTTTTAGCTGCTAACGCCTTGCAAAGGAAGCGTTCCAATTCAGAATCGTTTCCCAATTCACAGAATTCACTAGTTGGCCCCTGGTCCAGCTAGCAACAAACCCTCGGCCTGACCAGGATCAACCGCTAAGGGCAAAATCTGTCAACTAAAAACCAAAACAGTACCATTAAATTTTTCCTATGCCAGAAAACGTTCGAACCGCACCATGATCATAGGCAGGGTAAATATAGGCTATGATAAACTGCGATACCCATGAAACTTGTGCCAAGAGGCGTCGTTAGCAGTTCTGCAGCCCTTGATTGGACTTACCGCCCAGATCAAGCTTTGAAACCAAACATCAGCTCTTCGGCTAGAAAATCTCACTCTTGCTGGTCTCCGCTAACTACGGAGTCTCGTCGCCATGTTAGCCGCTTTAAAAGGCGCCGCCCAATTTTGAATGAAGAACTGGAAGGTTGTAAATAATGCTTAACTAAACAAGAAGTAGTGCACTCCAGACAAATCACCTTACTTCGTAAGCCCCAGGAGGCTTCTCGGTAAGCCGCTACTAAGATGATAAGGGCTTAGGACTTCCACCTTCGCACACCCCTTGGATCCGTCCACCGGATGGCCATATCACTCTGTGTGAATTTTTCATATAGAACTAGAACTTTCATAAATATTTTTCATAGAGAACCTATGACGAATTTGGGATTCCTCTTATTTCCTGTGTCTCTATTTCAGTATTGAAAATCGCCCTTTCTGCATGACCTTTCGTCTTGGAGTCTTTTCTCTCTCCTCGGTGCTCACTGTATCATTCCTCGCCTACTGGCTCTTACCCCCTCCCGGCCGCAAGGAGAGTAGAATAAGGAGATTAGAATCTTATTTTTATTTATTTATTTATTTATTTGAACGACGCATAAGGCAGTCGTGGGAAACAACGATAAATGAGCAACAGTACAACAATCTTTCCTTATAGATAACCTAGTTATAGCTTAACAAATTTTTCTTAGCTAGGCGTTTGAAAAGCACAAATTATAATCCGGAAAAGATGTTTCACGTAGTGGTTGGGGGTGGGTGGGAAGGGTTTTGTTACAGAAAATCCATGAAGAAGTGCACAAATAAGGGAAAGAACTAACTTGGGACCACATTTTTCGAGGATTTTTTAGAGCTTATATCTCAATGAGAGCACATTTGTCGAGGATTTGAAGCTTATATCTCAAACGAAGACAAATAACCCATCAAAAAAGGTTCAGTGAACATTTCAGCATGGCTACCGACTTAGAGTATGTCATCAGTAAGCATTCGCCCAACGAAAAAAGTGTTATTTCGTAATTTTGAAGAACGAGATCGCATTCAGAGAGAGTTTAGCTTTTTGGTAAGAAATGGAAAGAAGCGGATTCTTCAAAATTGATTTTTCACGAATTTCGGTAAAATTTCGCCGTTTCAACAGTAATATATCTTATCCCTTCCCGGCTCGACGCGTTTTTGAAGAAGTGCTGGAGCAGCAAAGTGTGCCAAGATGAGCCAGATCCACAACACTAGGGACAGCACGGAAAGCTAGAAGGGGTCGTGTTAAAGCTGCGAGCGCCTTCCAAAGAAAATCGTCCAATTTCAGAACGTTTCTCTAATTCACAGAATTCACAGTTGGCCCTGGTCCAGCTACAGGCAACCCTCGGACTGACCTGGATCAACCGCTAAGGGCAAAATCTGTCAACTAAAAACCGAAACAGTACCATTAAATTTTCCTATGCAGAAAACGTTCGAACCGCACCATGATCATAGGCAGGGTAAATATAGGCTATGATAAACTGCGATACCCATGAAACTTGTGCCAAGAGGCGTCGTTAGCAGTTCTGCAGCCCTTGGATGGAATTCCGCCCAGATCGGCTTAAAAGCACAGCATCAGCTTCTTTGGCAGATATTCACCCGTTGAAAGCAATTTGATGGGTCGCACTACAGAAATCGTGCCACGTCACGCTTTAAAGGCGCGATTTATAAAAGACTTTTGAATGAACAAATTGGAAGGGTTGTAAATAAGTGCTAACTATTAAATGGTTCCGCACACAAACGATAACACTTGATTAGTAAGCTCAGAGAGGCTTCTCGGTAAGCCGTTACTGATTGTAGGCGCGCTAAGGCTTAGGACTCTCTACTGTCTCGCACAGCTCACGGATCGTCCGAACCGTGGCCATATGAATTCGTGTGATATTTCCACTATAGAGCTAACATTTTCATAATATTTTCATAAGGAACCTATAAAATTTTGATCCCTGCTAATTTCCTCTCCTTTTCTCTCTTTCACTACTGAAAATCGCCCTTTCTGCATGACCTTTCGTCTTGGAGTCTTTTCTCTCTCCTCGGTGCTCACTGTATCATTCCTTCAACCTACTGGCTTCTACCCCCCCCACCTCGGCTATACAAGAAGCTCCTATTTGAGGGGACCTTTTCGACATATTCTTTTCATTTTTCCTCAACTGGCGGCCCTTTCATCATGGCTTTCATACTCGATTGGTTCACGTGGATCAGGCCGGTGGTGGAGTGCCTTTCACAACTAACTCGCAGAAAGACTCGTATGGTTAGGAATTTTGCTCGAAAGACGTTACTCGTCTTTTCTAAGCGGAATTCGAATGTATTCATGGTAATTTAACAACGGAAGCAGGTCACTTGGATTGTTCAGGGACCATTCCCCCCCCTTTAGTAGTTGCGGTTTCAAACACTTTTCTTTTATGCATAGGAGAAAGGTTGGGGGTAGGCGAGGCCCCAAAGGGTTTTCAAATTTCGGGTGTAAAAAGATATAACGACCATCATATATTTTATTTCTGTCCAAAGGGATTTCGAATGTATTGACGGTCTCTTTTCTCAAAAATTGTAAGATATGACGCTGTCGGCAGCTTTCTCGGATGTTCCCTAATTTAAGATCCTCTCCCAGGTGAGCAAAGCATCAAATCGTGATCTGTGTAGGGTTGGACTGCCACACCCCTCACAAATGACTCTGTCAGACGTTGCAGGGCTGGGTAGGATGACTCCATTAAATAAATGTTACCAGTCAGAAATCAGCCATGTAGACAGCCCATTAAAATAAATCACTGTGCAGATTTTTCCATATGAATCACGAAAACAGAAATTGGGTAGAGGTGATTCAATAACGGGTGGCATTGCCATAGTTTCCTTTATATGGCAGCACGAAAAACGCAGACCTAAACTTTTTTGGCTGGTCCCCGCAAGTCTCAATAATGTCTCATTACACGCATTCAAATACATCAGCAATTCTCTGATAAGAGGCGTAAACATGCATGGCGCATCCTAAACAGACTGACTGATCGCTTTGTCCTTTATAAATCAGGTGCTGAATCACAAATGAGCATCAACGACACAAGTATTCCGCACTACATCAAAAGTCAGCGATCATAGAACGTATGGGAAAACATGTTGACCATAGAAAAGGCGGTTTCAGTACAGAAAGATGAAAAAGAAAAAGGAAAGGCAGGAAATAAGAGGAAAAAAATAAAATTCATAAGTGTGATATGAAAATGATATAAAAATTCAATAATTTTATATAAAATATTTGATAGAGATACGAAATATGCGACTTTTAGACATGATTTGTGTGATAGGAGTCTTCATGAGACGGCCTAAACCACCCTCTCTCTCGCCCTGCTGAGGGCCTCGGGTTCAATCCCTACCGAAGCTTAACCATGCCCTGCTGCAGAAACGTTTCTACTACCAGCGTCAGGTCCCTAAACCTGCCCTCC